GGAAAAAATTTTTACCAGCTGCTCCTCAGACAAAGGACTATTATCTGGAATATATAAAGAACTCAAAACAATCACCCGCCCCAAATATAAAGACCCAATTCAAAAATGGGCATCTGAAATGAACAGACATTTCTCAAAGAAGTAAAAGTAGCAAGTGAATATATGAGAAAATGTTCCACATCACTGGAACTGAGAGATGCAGATGAAAACAACACTGAGAATTCCACCTCACCCCACAAAGAATGGCTGCTATCAAGAAATCAAACAATAACAAATGTTGGTGGGGTTGTGGGTAGAAAGGAACCCTTCTCCATTGGTGGGGGGAGTGCAGACTGGTGCAACCACTATGGAAATCAATATGGAGATACCTCAAAGAGGTTGGACTGGAGGTTCCATTTGACTCAGCCATCGCTCTGCTGGGTATCTTTCCAAAAGAATTAAAAGGATCATACCAGAGTGATATATGCACACCAATGTTTATAGCGGCACAGTTTGTAATACCTAAAACTTGGAATCAGCCCATTTGTCCATCAGTTGGAGACTGGATAAAGAAGATGTGGTTTTTCTATAAAATGGAAAACTACTCAGCCGTAAGGAATGAGAAATTAGACTCATTCATAGGAAAATGGATACATATTGAGGATACACTCCTAAGTGAAATAAATAAGTCACACATACGTAAATACTGAATAGTTTCTCTGGTGTGAATAAACTGTATAGTATGTAAGACCCTAATGAGATAACTGACATTGTGAAATGGGAAGGATAGGGCTAAAGGTGTAGGGAAAGTGGGAAGGGTAGGCGAAAGGTAATAAGGGAAAAATATAAGAAAATGAAAAAATAAATAAAGTGTTTTTCTATAAAATGGAAAACTACTCAGCAGTAAGGAATGAGAAATTAGACTCATTCATAGGAAAATGGATACATATTGAGGATACACTCCTAAGTGAAATAAATAAGTCACACATACGTAAATACTGAATAGTTTCTCTGGTGTGAATAAACTGTATAGTATGTAAGACCCTAATGAGATAACTGACATTGTGAAATGGGAAGGATAGGGCTAAAGGTGTAGGGAAAGTGGGAAGGGTAGGCGAAAGGTAATAAGGGAAAAATATAAGAAAATGAAAAAATGGAAATAAAGTGTTTGTAAATGGGGAGGGGAGGAGGGGGTGAAGGGAGGGCAGGGACAAGGGGAAAAAATGAGAACCAAGACCACCTGTCATGTAAAGGTGCAAGATCCCAATACTGAATGTAAATGTACTGTATACCTAAAATGTACCAATAAACTCAATAAAAGAAAAAAAAAGGAGAAGACACTATCTTCTTACAAGGTTCAATTACTAAACTGTCTGTCCCTGTCCTGTTCAGGTGAACTCACATACTACATCATTAAAAAGACCACCTCCCTTCAACTAAATGTATAAAAACAAAAACTTTCCTTTTTTTTAAGTGGCCCAGCACTTTAGACACAAGTTCAGCTGGGTCAGATGTACACCTACTAAATCCTCCTGATTCCCATTTAATCCCTCTTGCTTGTACTTTTGGAATTCTGCGAAGGGAAACATGATCTTGTAAGACACAGAGTTGATCACCTTTGATGAATTAGATGGTGTTAAGGATTGTGAGGAACACAAGGCTGAGCTTGAGGTTCTGGCTTGGGTGACCTTGGCACAACAGAGCCATTCCTTAAGATGGGGAACACTAAAACGGAGAAACAGAACTAGCAGAAAGAATCAACAATAGGGATCTCATCTTATTAAAAAGCTTCTGTACTGCAAAAGAAACCATCAACAGAAGTAACAGACAACCTACAATGTGGGAAAAAATTTTTACCAGCTGCTCCTCAGACAAAGGACTATTATCAAGGATATATAAAGAACTCAAAACAATCAACCCCCCCCAAATATAAAGACCCAATTCAAAAATGGGCATCTGAAATGAACAGACATTTCTCAAAGAAGTAAAAGCAGCAAGTAAATATATGAAAAAATGTTCCACATTATTGGTCATTCGAGAGATGCAGTTGAAAACAACACTGAGATTCCACCTCACCCCACAAAGAATGGCTGCTATCAAGAAATCACACAATAACAAATGTTGACGGGGATGTGGGAGAAAGGAACCCTTCTCCATTGGTGGGGGGAGTGCAGACTGGTGCAACCACTATGGAAATCAATATGGAGATACCTCAAAGAGCTTGGACTGGAGGTTCCATTTGACCCAGCCATCCCTCTGCTGGGTATCTTTCCAAAAGAACTAAAAGAATCACATCACAGTGACGTATGAGCACCCATGTTTATAGCAGCACAGTTTGTAATACCTAAAGCTTGGAAATAGTTTTGCCCATCAGTTGGAAATTGGATAAAGAAGATGTGGTGTTTCTATAAAATGGAATTTTACTCAGCCATAAAGAATAAGAAAATAGATTCATTCATAGGAAAATGGATACATATTGAAGATATACTCCTAAGTGAAATAAATAAGTCACACTTGTGTAAATACCGAATAGTTTCTCTGGTGTGAATAAACTGCAATAATACATGAGATCCTAATAAGATTACTGACGTTGTGAAATGGGAAGAAAGGAGCTAAAGGTGTAGGGAAGGTGGGATGGATAGGGGAAGAGTAATAAGGGAAAAGAAAAAAATGTGAGATAAAGAAAAGATGGAAATAAAGTGGTTGTAGATGGGGAGGGGAGGAGGGGGTGAAGGGAGGGCAGGGACAAGGGGAAAAAATGAGCACCAAGACCTGTCATGTAGAGGTACGAGATCCCAACAATGAATGTAACTGTACTGTATCCCTAAAATGTACCAATAAACTCAATTAAAGCTGGAAAAAAAGGAGAAACAAACACGTATGCAGGGACAGAGAGATATTAAGTTCTGTTTGGGACACGTTAAATCAACATACATTTTAAATCTACAAGAGAACTTGTGAATGCTGAAAAGTTCATCTAAACATTTTTTAAATAGGTGTTTGTTAGTCTCTGAAGACAGCTCGCATATTAGGCAAGGTTGAGAGATCTATCTGAATCCAATAAGCTATACTCTTCTTGTCTTTATACTGGATATGTGTCTAGTTCCTTGTTGTGTCACTTTCATAGTACGCCACATCCAGGACACCAGAGGGTGGGAGGACAGGAGCAAAGAGCAAAGATCAGCTGGGTTTTACAGCCAGTGGGAGGTCGTGGGCAGAACTCTTCTGAGGGCTGGGCCATGGCCTGAGTCCACCCACCTCACCTCACGGTGCGTTCCCTCCTCCAAGGCAATAGCGGGTACAGCTGGACACCAAAGGCTCCACCCTCCACGGCGCCACCAGCACTTCACAGCAACCCTGTGCTAAGTCCTTCATAGGCCTTAGTAAATGGGCACAGTAACAATAGCCGCTTCACAGATTTCACAGGGAGTAAAAGATAAGGCACGATTAGCACTAATCATAGGGCCCCTGATGCTTACTAAGCACTCAAAAAGTACTGGGTGGTGGTGGCTATGAAAACAAAGGTCAAACCTATAACTCACAATCACAAATACGATCCTGAAACTCTTAAATCATCAAATACCTATGTAGTTCTTTTTCAAAAAATAGTGTAAAGCATACTTCCTCATACTCTGATCAACCATTTATGACAACAGCCTGTTCATTAGTGCAGCTGGTTAGTTACTCAGTAGTTAACTATTCTGTGTACACAGGATCTAGTGGCTAAATTGAGATTTTATTTCCATCTGACAGGTACTTTTTATTTCTTTGTCTCATGGAAATTGTTAAAGGATTACATAAGTTTGATTGTTTTAGTAAATTAATAAAATTTAGATGAGTTTTATAATTTAGCTGATCACTTCAAACAAATTTACAGCATGAGAATGTATCTAATAAAAAAGTACAGGTTATATTGGTAATTAATATAAAGTAGAGGCTAAGAGGCAGAAGTTTATGCCTTATATCACAAAAGGCCCAGGCAGAGACTCTTACTTGCTTCAGCATCTATAGTTATAGTTTCTTAACACAGATCTCAATAAATATATTTGGAAGGAAAGAAATAAAATAAGATCTGAGGCTCTTAAGATCAATTGTCTGTTGAGAGACTCACTAAAGATCCCACCAGAAAAAAAATCACTTTGTAGTATAACTAGAAGGCTAACATCATGCATGCATGGGCCCGACAGAAATTCTCCATCCAGATCACCTCACCTGGGCAGTTGTTGGATGTCCGTCCTGAGGCTTCCCTTGAGGCCCACTGAATCACAAACTCTGGAGGGGAGGCTCAGCAATTTGTCCACAGGTTCCACAGGTGATTCAGACACACTCAGATTTCGAAAACTTTGAAGAGAAAAGCACAGCATGGGTTCATAGATTTTACAGGACTCTTGGGTGTTTAAAAAGGCAAAACAAGGCAGGTGTGTGGAACTGGTCAAAATACAAGCAGCTTTGCTCCCAGGACTCTGCACTCACCTGGCGCACTTCATACCATTTACATGAAGTTTCCATATAGGAATCTGAGTTTCCACTTGTTAATTTGCCTGAGCAAGAGATCTAATATTGTTATAGAACAAAGTGAAAGGAAGTATAATTAATCTCTGAACTCCTTGAGCGTAGAGGCTTCTCCTACTCCCTATTTGACCCCCATTTTCTAAGAGTGCCTGACACATAGTCCTCAGTACCTATTTGTCGAATGAAAAGAGGGTCTTCTACCTGAGGAAAGGGCTCACCAAGGCAGTCCATCAGGATAGTCTAAATGGGGAATTGATGAAAAGGCCTGGTGTGAAGTCCAGTTCCAGCCCTCTGCAGCTCTGTTGCTAAGTTTTTTTCCCCTTAAATGTACACGGGGGATGATAACAATCCCACAGAATTATTCTGAGGATTAAAAGAGAAAATATTTGTGAAGGACACAGCAGAGCACCTGAGACATGCCGTTTTTGTTATTATAACAGCAGTACTTTGAAAGAGTCAGTACATAGACAGAGGCCCCTATGTCCTTCGACATACATTATAAGAACTTAAACATACCCCACTGACAATCTGCTTTCCCTAAAAAGAAACATAGGAATCCCTTCTCCTCTGATATTCCTTCTTGAAACAAAGAATTATGCAACTAATTCATTAATTAACCCCCAGAACCACAAAAACAAGAGACAAAAGATTAAAGTTCAATTTTTGATAGTTATGTTAGAGGAATGTTGGACTGAGATTTTTAATAGCTTAATTTTGAATCTCTTGGAGAAATCTCTGTATGATCTTTATGCAAATTTAATTGCAAATTTGAAGTTCTGATTATTGAAATTATTGAGATACCTAATTCGTCATTAAAATTAAATATATGTAAGTGCTTAAGGACCTCCAGTATGGAATTGATTTTTCTCTTTCTTTGGAATAATTGTCTATCCAATATAAGATATTAAATGTTTGAGTGCTGCCCCCCTGTCATGATGAGGTTAGAGGAATGACTGTTGCTTTGCAAAGGAAATTTCCCAGTGTCTATATTTCTATCTGGTGTGGGATGGTTTGGACCCTGACCAGAGTAGCATGAGTGCTTTATCAGTTTATGCAGTCCACACCAAACACTGACACAAAGCACCAACTCAGGCAGCAGGGGGAGTGCTGATAAGGGCTGACAAGTAGTGAGACTAAGAGAGATTTCACCAGTTTAACGAAAAGCTAAAGCAAGTTGAGGTTGGTGGCTCAGTGGTAGAGCGTTTGCCCAACATGAATAAGGCCCTGTGTTTGATCCCCAGCAAACACACACACACACACACACACACACACACACACACACACACACACACAACTGCAGCAAGCATTTTACAGAACCCCTTGGAGGTGCCAAACCTCCATAGAAGTTTTTGATAGAAGCTCTACTTACAGTGTATTTCAAAAGTGGCAGATGAAATGACTATAAGCTTCCAGCAGGATGACTTTCAGAACTTCCCCAAAATCTTTCCTTCCTTCTTGTCATGGGCAACTAACTATACAAGACTCCCATCCCTATACTTTCACTCATTCAGCGATATATTCAGGCTTTCTTCACTTGGACCTACTTACCCTGTCTTGCCATGTTTGGGGGCTTTGTTTTTTGTTTTTGCTGACCCCCTAGTTTTGGTCACTGTCTGTCTTCCCCTATTCACTTGGACTTAATATTTCAAATCTTCCTTCACACTGAGATCAGCTTTCAGGTATTTTCCCTCCGGTCCTACACTTGTATACCTGTTATATCCATTGCAACTATAAGATCTCAGCTCTAGGATCTTCACTAGCTAGGAAGAAGGCCAAGAGCATGGTTTCTGAGAAGGAAGTGATGAACTCACTTGGAAAGAATGGAGCTGGAAAAGCACGAGGCAAAGGAGAGAGCTAGCAGGTGCTAGAAGAACAGAGATCCACAGCAGACCAGTGACTCTACACTCAAGCTTGAAAAGAGTCCCTATTGAATACTTACTGAGGAGTTTGAGTATTCAAAAAACAAATTAAAGTTGGAGGTTGGAGAAGAGGAGTAAGTAGGAGGACATAGACTTTGCAATTCCTCCTTGATAACACAAACAAGTTCAGGCAAACATCGGGACTTTGCAATTGTTTCCCCATCTGATCCTTGCCCAATAAGGAAGAGAAAACTGAGTTGCGGGTAAAAAGAGTCAAACCATGACAAATTACCTAGTTTCTTTCATTCTCATGTGGAGAATTTGTGGTCACATAACATTATATAATGCTGGGAAAGATAGCAAGAAAAGCTTCTCTGGCATTATGGAAATTGCCTTAGTCCAGCCCTGTGCTTTATTTATGGTTTAAATTCATTTTCAGTTACTTTAATACCCCACAAAGTTGTTAATGGACTCTGGCAGGATAAGTGAGGCAGAAAAACTTTTATGAGAAAACAAATTCAGTTTATAAAAACCTAATTTATACTCTTAATTATCCTATTAGGATCTTGTGTACTATTGTAGTTTTTCACACCAGAGAAACTAATTCGGTATTTACACATGTGTGACTTATTTCACCTAAGAGTATATCCTCAATATGTATCCAATTAAGACTGTGAAATAGGAAGCAAAGGGTTAAAGGTGTAGGGAAAGTGGGAAGGGTGGGGGAAAGGAAATAAGGGAAAAGAAAAAATATGAGAAAATGAAAAAATGGAAATAGTTTGTAAATGGGGAGGGGAGGAGGGGGTGAAGGTAGGGCAGGGACAGGGGGAAAAATGAGAATCAAGACCTGTCATGTGAAGGTACAGGATCCCAATAATGAATGTAACTGTATTGTAGACCTAGATTGTACCAATAAATTCAATAAAAAGAAAAAAAAACCTAATTTATGAAAATGTCATTACTGACCTGTAGGGGGAGCTCTAAGCTCCTCTCCACCTCTGCTGCTTTCCAGGCACCTTGGCACTAAACATTATTAGCTTTAAATTTAGGATATTTTTGGTTAGTTCAGATCAGGTATCACCATATTACCAAGTTAAATATTGTCACAATGTGTATATGGCCTCTTTAGGAGTACCTTCTTCTTAATAAACAAAGTAGAAGCTAAGATCTGCTCCTGAGTTTCTGTTTGGGAGATAGTAAGTAGACTATTGGCTACTTTGGTACATATTAGCAAAAAGTTATTTACAAAGTATATTAAAACTTCTTGGAGTTCTGCATTGGGCTAGGCGCTAAACTTATAGCTAAGGAATATATGTTTCTTTGTTTTGCTTTGTCTCACATCATCTTCATCGTGTCAGGGTTTTTTCCCCTGCTGTACCCTGCCCTCCACCCACTCCCAGGCCTCGAAAAAAGCCTCACAATGAGGGGAGTTGGCTGTTAGAATTCAGGTAGTATCCTAACAAAATGCTGTTGTAATAACACCATCATTTTTCCTTGAGTGTTATTGTAGGGAAGGGAGGGAGGCAGAGGGAAAAAGGGAGGAGTAAGAGACAGAGGACTTTTCTTATAATGCCTTGAAAAGATAAAAAGAAGTTAAGCCACAAACACCAAGGCTAAATTTAGTTTGAATACTAAAAGAAACGGTGCCTGGTTTTACCGCATTTGCCCACCAGCATACTTATGAAGACTGAAAAATATATATATATAATATGGGCAGAAAAGTAAGTGGTGATCTCTTCCCTGCCCTCTATGATAGGTCACATATGACACCCCATAAAAATAGATCAACAAGTTAAAAGCACAACAAATCTATTTGATCATAATTTTACTTGCCAAAGGAGCCTTCATATCGAAGACTCAAAGACCCAGGGTAATTGTTCATTTTCATGCTTTGGTTCAGTGAAGTATAGACAGCCATGTAGAAATATAATTGAACAAAACTTATAATCCAATAGGAATAACCTGAGGAAAGAAAGCCAGCAAGGACCATCTGTTCAGATCCTCTTGGCCTTTCTTGGCAGCATTCCTTTCATCTAGATATGGGGCAAGATCCTTTCTGGAATGAGAGGTTTTAAAAGCTGCAATCAAATATTGAATTTCTTTATGAGCAATTTTTATGCAAAAGATGGGAGAAATTAGACTAATATTTTTAGGTTTTATGACTGACCTTAGGAAAAGGGGTTCTGGTTTCTACATTCTGCCTTAGGGAAGAAGAATTCTAATAGTTTCTATGGCTTTCCTAGAGAGGTAAGAGACAGGAGGGCAAGAGAACGTTAGAGAGGTACTTTACCTCTGAGGCTTCTGAAGCTTTTCCTTTGAGGTATCATTTCATTGGTCCCAACAACACAAATAAAAGTAGCGGCATGAAATACTAGTAAAAGATTTACCAGATTCTGAGAAAAATTACCATTAACAGTGTTAAAAAAAAAACAACAACAAAAAAAAAACAATGTTCAGTCTGCTTGAGCTTCTTTAACTACATATCATAAACCGGGTGGCTGAAATCACATGAATTTATCCTCATTACTTTCTGGAGACTAGATATTTATTCTCACAGTCCAAGATCAAAGTACCAGCCAGTTTGGTTCCTGGCCCACCTTCCTGCTTGCAGGTGGCTCCCTTCTTACTTGTCCTAATGTGGCAGAGAGAAAGCCGGATGTCTCTCAAAGAGCACAAATCTCATTGGGAGGATTTCACACCCTCATGATTTCTTCTGAACTTAATTTTCTCCTAAAGGCCACATCCCAAAATACTCAGAGTACCCATCACATTGAGGGTTAGGGCTCCTGCACATGAATTTGGGGAAGTGGACACGATTTAGCCCTTACCAACCATAGAAGAAATAGAGTCAGAGAAACTTTCATGACCTGAACTAAAGCCTAATCTTGGAAACATGAGTAAACTTGGCACTCTGGGAGTCTGAGGGAGGAGAATTATAAGGTTGAACCCATTGAGTTCTCAAGAGCCAAC